GGTTTCTGTCCTTTTGTTCACTGCTGTACCCTCTAGTGCTTCAAACAGTGCCTGTCCCATAGTAAGTGCACAATAAGTACATGTAAATGATACATATATAAAATCTCAACTTTTTTTCCACACAAACACTAAAATGTCATAGAAACACCAGCAGATGGCTCTCGGTGACAATCCAGTGAACAGATCAAAATGTCCTCCTAGGTTGTGGTCGAGGGCTCAAGTCTCACAAGATTTGCCTAAATTATTAGAAAAAGCTTATGAATTAGATACTGACCTTCTGCAAATTTATTTTCCAGCTCAGTGTTTCCAATGGCTTTTGCTGCTTGACACATTTGTCGAAGCAGTTCTTCCAGGCGCCTCATACAACGAATTATGCTGCCTGGACAGAAAAGAAACAAATCACTTGTTAAACGGAAATAATCAGGAACAGTAGAATTTTTGTTATGAGGCAAGGCAGGAGAACATGGGATAATTATTAATAAGTAATAAGGGATTTCCCATGAAGTAAATCAGGTAGTAAACTTGACTGGCTGCCTGCTAGGCGTTAGGAAGGCTACAAAGATCAAAGGTTTAATTCCTACCCTGGACTAATGGTAGAGACAGACATGGATTCATTAATAATGTGTAGATACTTGCTATTAGAGAGGTAGGTAAACAAAATGCTCTGGGAGCAGAGGACAGAGAAACTTTGGGTGAAGGCTGGCAAAGATGACTTTTAGTCTGTGTCTGTAGGAATGAGGCACTCTCTGTCAGGCAGCGACAAGGGAAGTCCACTGAAACAATGCAGGAAAGCCTGACAAACTGCAGCTATTCAAGGACCCTCAGTGTGGCCCACTTAGGCATCTGGATACCACCCATACTAACCTGTAGAGAGAATGCAATAGATTTTTAAGCAGGAGAGTAACAGATCAGATTTGTCATTTTAAAGGTGCAATCATTGATTCTTCTTAACCTTGGACTCTTTCATCAGTGCTTTACACAGAGTGTCCTCAAGGAAACATAAAAGAGACAACTCTTTTTTTTTTTTTTTTTTGAGACAACTCTTTTCCTGTGGGTCTTGACTCTGAGAAAAGTGTTTGTATCAATGCTGAAGCTGTAAACATAGTTTTACTTTTGTCAAGACTTGGGCAAGGAGGGGCCTGAGATCCCTACCTGCCTACATTTAAAACTCTAGGGACTTCATTTTTATTATCTGAAATGCATTAGGAATATCAGTTCTCAAAATGCAATCTGTAGGGAAAATGAACTCACACTTTAGGTCTTTATTAACTCCTTGCAACACTGGAATGAATCATTAGCATTCATCAAATTCTTATATTCATTGCTTTTAATGCCCTCCACATTATGTATGTGTTCCAATGTGCCCCAAAGGGGAAAAACAGCTAAGTGATTTAACTCATAAGGCAGAATGGAATTTGAGCTTGGACAAGGGCAAAAGTACAAGCTGTTTACCTAACAGCACAGTCCAGCGGGAAGTTCACATGCACATGCAGAGCACTTTCTCCTCCAGTGGGCATCCCAGGAGCCCGAGGAATATCATACCAATGGCCTGGACCAATAAGGACAAAATGTCTAGTTTCTGAACACACCTATGGGCCACAGTAATGAGAACACAAAGAAGCTATTTCAGGAAGTAGTAGGTTTATGGGATGAGACTGGTCAAAGGGGAGGACCACCACCAACACATAGGTCCCTCAAAAGAGAAATGATGATGTCCCAGTTAAAAGGAGACCATCTCCTACACGTAGGATGTTAACCTACTTTAGCCGTAGTTCACAAGAGTGAGCCGAGGAAAGATGGATACCTGGGTTATAGTCCAGACTCTGCTGCTAAGTAATTAGCTCTGTAATCTAGGCCTTTAACCCCATTCTATCTTCCTTTTTCATTTGTAAGATTAATAAAACTTTTCAAGAGTGCTTGCTCTACTCTGGATTTGTCTCACTTGAGATAAAAGATACACAATTTTTTTGAAAAGGGCAAAATCTCTGAAGGAATGTAAGGTCATAAAAGATCCAAAATATTCAAAGTCCATAGCTTTTTTGTCCTCTATCCTCTCCTCCTATCAAAAGGCCCGCACAGTGTTGGAGAAAATCTCCAGTCCTCAATTACAGAGTATTTCCACTATACAACTGTATAGTTATTTAGCTCCTGGCACAGGAAAGCTCATTAGATGAGAGTCAATAGCAAAAGGCAGCAGCCAGAACAGGGAAACAAATTCCATAAAATTCAACCATCAAACACTAGGGTCAAGAGTGCTACCTCACCCCCACACATAGGCACATCGCATCATGAGGGCTTTATTGTATTCTAAGAGAGTAATCAATGTTTATAAACACATTCAGGCATCAAGGAAAGGTGAAATTAAGTTGAATATGTTTTGGAAAAAATCAGTGATGCCTAACATTTTCTGAGCATTTATTTCATGGCTGGTCTGTACTCTATGTGAATTTTCTCTTGTTTGGTCCTCACAATTCCATGAGAGAAGTACTGTTAGACAGAGAGAAAAGGAGAAGTTCAGAGAAGTGACATACATCGTTT